CCAGAAGCCCATTACTTTACAAGAGTTCTTTCCCAAAGGATATCTAGATGACGAAGTCGTGATAACTTACATGGTTTTAACTGGGAAAATGAGCCCTGATGAGGAGAATAGCGAGGATCAAGATGAAGCCCAACCTGGTGAGAACTATACAAAGGATGCAACCATTATTGAAAAGTCCGATGATGAGGATGTAGTAGGAGGTATGCTTGATTCATGTTGTGTACCAATTGTTTTCACTGACGAGGATCTTTAGTTGGGTTCAAAGAGGCATAATTGTCCTCTCTTCATTTCCGGTTACATAAGAGAACAAAAAGTTACTCGAATTCTTGTTGATGGTGGATCAGCAATGAATCTTATGCCAAAATTTATGATGAAAAATCTCGGCATCATAGTCGACGAGTTAGCTCGTAGCCATCTTATTATTCAAGGTTTTAACCAAGGAGGACAGAGAGCTATTGGCATGATTCGAGCGAAACTAACTATTAGCGGGCTCCAAGCTGAAACCTTATTCCATGTTATTGATGCAAAGACATCCTACAACTTATTGTTGGGAAGACCTTGGATACATGGTAATAACGCCATTCCATTAACTCTTCATCAGTGCTTTAAATTCTACAAGAATGGCATACAAACTGTTGTGGCGAACCATAAACCATTTACACAAACAGAATCTTATTTTGCAGATGCCAAGTTCTATATCGATCTCTATACACCTTCGGAAGTGCCCATCCCAAGCCATCCGTCTACACAAGAGGTTCAATCTACAAAAACAAAAGAAGCATTGGGTGACCCATTAGATGTTTCAGGTAGCTAAAACGCAAGAGGTCTCGATAAAAGCACATCGGACGAAACCTATTTTAAAGTATGTTCCAAAATCTCAATGACAAGAAGGGCAGTCACCTATCATCAAGATACTTGAAATCGAGGAATTTAAATTGAAGATGTCACAAACCAATGAAAAAAAAAAAAAAAAGATATGCAAAAACTACAAGGAGAGTTAACCCTTCCTCTCACTAAGATTCAAAAGTCTTCGTCTTCCAAGCCTCCATTGAAAGGATTCGTGCAACCTTCTTAATCTCTAATCAAACATGGATCACTTCCAAAACAAAAAAAGAAATAAAAAAAACTAATGAAGGATTCGATCCTAAAACATACAAACTCTTGATCGGGGTATGATTTTACAAATCCTACAAGCCTTGGAAATTTAATTCTGAGGTCACTGGTGAGAAGGTGCATGGTGTAATACCCTTAATTTTAAAAAGATAGTTTCAGTATTATTTTAAATATTTTAGTTGCATTTTATTTATTTATTTGATTGTGTGGTTATTTGATTACGTGTTTAATTGAATTGTTTAATTAATATTTTATTTCTTTATTTGATTATGTGTTATTTGACTTAACTGATTATGTGCTTGAATGTCATTTGAATTAGTAGGTTTAATTAATGTGTTGTTTATTTGGAATTAATTGAAGATTAAGTAATTAAATGTTTTTTTTTTATTTTTTATTTTTTATTTTTTTTTTATTTTTATGGTTAGTAGTAATGGACCAACCAATTAGGTTCCATGGACTACTTGGATAAGGGGTTTGATGGGTACGGATAATTGCCCATGGATAGTTGTGTATATATATATAAATAAATAAATAAATAAATATATATATATATATATATATATATAATAGGAAAGTAATTTATTAATTAATGTTATGGTAACATTAGTATTAATAAATAATCTGATGTATGTATATTTATATATTTATATAATGAAAATATACATAGATTATACGTAACATATTTTAGTTACCTTTTTAATATTTTAATTTTAATAGTTTCTTTATTAAGTTGACTTGGATTGGGAAAAGGAGTAGGGTTATTATTTAGCCTATAAATATATAACTATATGGTTGAAAAAGGGGACTAGAAATATATCATGTAATATATTTTAGAGAGAAAGAAAGAGAAAAAAGGAATAAGAAGGAAGAGAAAGAGGAAGAAGGAGGCTAGGGTTTTTTTTTTAAATCCCTAAAGGCAAGTTCTTGTTCTACACTTCTCCTTTGATCTGTGAATTATATATCTCTAGTATAATTTTAGGATTGTTTAAAGAACAATTAAAACTAGAATTTATAATTTAATTGATCTAAAACATACGTTTTATGAGTTTTGTTCATAGTCGTTCTTGTTGTATGAATTGATAAATTCCTGGATTTGATCTGGTTTCTTTATGAATTTTTACATATTTTAAATGATGTAATTTCATATCTGTGTATTAATGGAACTTAGAAATATGCCTTAGAATCCTTAAATAATGAAGAACGATTTACAGTAGGATTTCTAGGTTGAATCGCGTAACAGTACTCGATCCATTATTACAGTGCTCAAGCCTTAGAAGCAAAGCTCGAGCCATAGGTGAAAAGCTCGAGCCTTGGATGCAAAGCTCCAGCTATTGGTGTAAAGCTCGAGCAATGGATAGGAAGCTTGAGCAATTAAGATAAAAGCTCGAGCCTTACCTGGGAGATTTTTGTAAACAATATTAAATTGATATTAATTGATTTTGAAGGATCCTGAACATTAAAGAGGGACTAGGTATGAGTTTAAATAAATTCTAAATAGACTTAATTATAACAATGTATGCTATTTGAATTCTTTAAAGAATGAATGGATTTAATCTTTTTAATTTGTTCTAACAATTAAAATTAAATGATTGGCATGAATTGTATTTAGAGAATGTTTACTTGATTATATAGTAAAATATCAGCATATTTAAGATTCAGTTTGTGTAGAATATATGATGTAGGAAGCTTAAATAAAGTATAAATCATTCCTATTTTTGATAGTATGATATTCTGTTATTATGTTTATTTCTGGATTATTTAATGTACTTCTTTAATTGTTACAGCAACTATTGAATTGTGTGGATGTAATGCACCAGTATGGAATGATGGCATTCTAGGGACGAATTAACTTATCAGTTAAGTCCTACCTATTTTTATATGAGTGAACGGATTAACTAAAATGTTAAGTCCTACTTATATTCGTGTCAGGTCAACTGAACAAGTTGGATGATACATCGTGGTTTATTTTATATTGGATAGGATATATGTTATTTATATGTGTGTGTGTGTGTGTATGTGCCATGATATGAGTTTGAGTCTCAAGATCAGTGGTTAGGGTACGTATATTGCCAGGGATGTGTAGTTAGATATGGTATAGTTGTGTGCCCTAGTAGGTCTAGGTACTCATACCCATTATATGTGCGTTTTGCATGTTGCCTACTATTCAGGTTGAGGCAACCCTATAGTCTAGTGAGGTTCCTTTAGTGTGTATATGTATTTACGGACTATGTCGTATTGCATGGGTTAGCCATAGATACGTAGTTTCTCTGGTCTCTGTTTGGGTTGTCATAGAAAAAACTTGTTCGTAGGCCTGACCCACTATTATTTTTCAGGTGTTCGTTAGTTTCCGACATAGAACTTGTTCGTGCTGAGCAGAAACAATCCACATTATTCTTCCGATTCTAAGTAGGATTCTCTTTATGTTTTAGTTTCGGATTATTTCTTTTTAGTTATTTCTGTTGGAATTTTATTAGGAGTCCGCTAGATGGATTCTCGAGTTGTAATGTTATCAGAGATTTTGGATATTTCATTTGGAGGATTAATAATTTTTATTTAAGGATTTATTACTTAGATTCTTTTCACTTATTTATTTATTCTTAATTCATTTTGTATTTTGTATTCGATTAAATACTTTAATTATTTGATATCCCTCAGATCTGTGCTTAGATTTGATCAATCGTGGCTCTAGAATTGAGGGGTATCACACATAGCCTCAATGAGACACAGAAGAAGTTGAAGGAATAAGGGCATAGGATCATTCCACCCAAGTCCGGTCTCAATTTCGCAGCATTTGAGCCACTTCGAATTAAAATCACAAAAAATGATAAGAAGCCAAACACTTTATACATTGGGTTTGAAGAGGTTAAGGATGAACAAGACCAACATAATATGTATCAAAAATTGGTCTTCGACCGTACAGGAACTCCATTTGCTCGAACATCTGTATTCAACAGGTTGTCGAGCCAAAAATCAAATGTCTCAAGTTCTCATGTTAGCAGTTTACCTCATATCTCTATTTTTAACAGAATGAGCTTTCATGACCTAGGAAGAAAATCTCCACAACCTTAATCTCGAAAGTCAGTATTTTCTTGAATTAGTACTATCAATGATGTACCGCTAAAAAACAGCAATAGTGGAAAGTTAGAGAAAGCTAACATGGCGTGGTGAACAATAGTGAAGTTTGTTAGTGCCCTCGCGAATGAAACGTAAGACAGAGATAGATGTCACTAATGATTTTAAATCAACTGGTATATCATAAGGTTAATTTCATCATTCAATCACAAAATATGAGTAATGTAATCAAATTTCATAGTGTTGGGAGTTTTCTAAAATAGGTTGAGAGTATATGATCAAAAAATGATAATAGTTGGGGTTTTGTGAAATTTATTCTTTTCAAAAAACTGAAACCTTACCCATCAAGGCCTTAGTTAGAAACAAGAAATGAAATTTCCATGAAAGTTCCAAAAAGACGCCAATCAATTATTAATTTATTATGTCCTTTATCCTTAGGCAGTATCGCATTACAAATATTCAACCCCTTTTTCTTTCTTTCTTTCTTTTTTTCTTTTTTTTTTAAAGGAAAGAAGAAGAATATGTAAAGATACCCTGTTGACTCCCAACTCCCAGAATTGTCCGATATGTAGCAGCACAATCCTCCTATTCTAAGAAATGGAATAAACAAAGGATAACACATATTAACAAGAAATCATATATTTGAAGTTACAGAAAATGTACTTTACAACCCAATGCATAAGAAAGGTAACTAGAAATGAAATAAACGAAAGCGATACCTCTTCTAATCCCTATTTCACAAGTAAAGTCCCTAAAGATTAGAATCCAAAAACACCCTAACACCACCGCAACATGACAAAAACCATAAATATTTAACGTTATATAAATCAACGAGTTTGACAACTCACAACCATTTCAATATTACATGACCTGTCTGCTTCTTCGTGTACTGTTAGATAAGCGGACAACCTAATAAACATCCAACTCTTTCTGGGTATTTTCACTTTTTAACCGAACTACTTGAATTTACACTTGAACAAAACACACACAAACACAGAGATGGAGGGAAAGAAGAAGGTGGTGTTGAGGGTATTGGTGGTATGGCTGTTTTTGGGTCTCTGTATGCGATCCTCAGCTTCCGACAATCAGAAGCAAAGATGGTGGAAATCAATATTCTCAGGATCCACATCATCGACGGTCAATCCTGTTGCCTCCTCCTCTGTTGTATACCCAATTTATGGCAATGTCTATCCGATTGGGTATGTCATCTATCTGCTTATCTACAAATTCTACATATATATGCTTGTATGTGCGTGTGTGTGTAATTATTGGTGAGGAAGAGTTGATTATGTGCCTTCCTGGTTGGGTTTCTGTAATTCTTGAATATGTTATTAAAATTCCAGTTTCTGTGTGTTTGAGCCTCAAATTCGTGAATTAATAATAGGGAATTTGGTCATATTGATTAATTGATTAGGAATATGTTTGTGTATGATGAAGAATTTGGGAATTTGGAATGTTAAATCTGTATATGACTTGTGGGGGGATTTTTAATCTCTGCATTCTCTTGGCTATGTTCGGTTGCATGGAATTGGAGCCTTAGAATTAGAATTGGTGGAATTAGAGAAAATTTTAGTTCAATTTTATGTAATTTTGAACTAAAATTTTCTTTAATTTCACCAATTCCAATTTCAAGGTTCCAATTTCATAACATATGGTATTTGTACAATAATTAACTTACATTTTATTGAGTAATTATCTTCTACAGATTTTATTATGTTCAAGTCAACATTGGACAGCCACCAAAGCCCTACTTTCTTGATATGGACACAGGCAGTGACCTAACATGGCTTCAATGCGACGCTCCCTGTGTTCGTTGCACTAAGGTATAAAATTATTGTGACATATTTTTTTTTTTTCCTAGTTGGGAAACTCACACACACTGGCTCCACTGAGGTTCGAACCCCTAACCTCCCTTTAGAAAGTAGGAGTCTTGTACCGCTCTACCACAGGAATGTTGGTAACATATTATAGAACTTATTTTAGAAAAAAAATAAAAAATAAAAAATCAAAGTGTATGTCATTCATGACCCTTTTTTTAGGGAATATATATATAATAAAACAGCAAATTTCTCTTCAACAATACAAGCACATTTGTGTGTCTTAAGTTAATTTGTCTGTGTGAAAAACATTGAGATTGTTTAAAGTTAATCATGACATTTATCTTTTGCTTTCTAGGGGCCTCACCCGCTTTATCGACCCAACAATAACCTAGTGGCCTGTAGAGACCCCTTATGTGCCGCTTTACACTCCGGTGACTACACTTGCGATGACCAAGAGCAATGTGACTACAGGGTTGAGTATGCCGATGGTGGTTCATCCCTTGGTGTCCTTGTCAAGGATGTCTTACTTGTCAATCTCACTAATGGAGCACGTCTTAGTCCTCGTTTGGCTTTCGGGTTGGTAAACTTACTTGCTTAATTTCATTAACTGAATGTTTTCAAGTTGACCGTTTTGCATTCCGTTCTTTTGAAATCATGGTGTTCATAGAACCAGTCCCAAGAAACAATGCCTTCAAATTAGGCTGGTACACTATGCTCTTATTCTAAATATATTGATACTTTTGAAATCATATCAGAGTTTGATGTGTAGCAAGTTTTGCTTCTAGTTGTCACTACTCATAAGATGATTACTGTATACATGCCTCTGTGAATCTATTAGATATGCTGTCATTCCTACAAAAGGTAATTAAATACATAGAAAAATAAAGAAAAATAAAATAAATGGATGAGGGCCAGATTCCATAGCAATTTTCAACTCACCTGAAAGAACACAATAGCTACCGGCATTATCTTCAAATTAACTCAATAGTGGCAAAGCTTGAAGCCATCCAAACTTGAATGCGGTATAAAAACATGTACAGAACAGGGATTCCAATCCCTTGCAAAAAAAAAATAACTGATGGTTTCTCTTCAATTTTGCTTGCCAAGAATGTTTTAAGGATGATTCCTAGTGTACCAGCCTTTTTTTTTTTTTTTTTGGTTCCTTTTCTTTTTTTGAAGTGTTTGGAACTACTGAGTTTACCAGATGATGACAGTGAAACAGATTAAATTAAATAAATTATATACCTCAAATAAATGGTTATATTATACTGAAGTACTAGGTGTTAACTAATGCTTCATACATATGCATCAATTGCATTGGTTTTTTCTGCAGTGGTTAACTGCTAGGATACACTTGATATTGGGTTATGATCGTGATAAAAGAGGCTTATTTAAAGTTTGAAAGAATTGCTTCTAGAGCTTTTAATTTTCTCTTTATTTATAAGTAATTGAGAAATAAAACAATAAGAATTTATGTTTATTGAAGTTATTTGAAGTCCGAAGAAATCCCTTTATTACAGTTTGGTTTTATTTCTGTTGTCTTCAGTTGTGGATATGATCAAGAATATGTTGCATCTTGTCATCCCTTAGATGGGGTACTCGGCCTTGGCAAGGGAAAGTCCACCATTGTATCGCAGCTTCATAGTCAGGGCCTGACACGAAATGTGGTTGGCCACTGTTTAAGTGGGCGAGGAGGGGGATTTCTCTTCTTTGGAGACAGCATTTATGATTCCTCACGCATAGTTTGGACATCAATGTCACGTGATCACCCGTAATATCAATACTCTTTTCTTTATTTTGTTAGTCAATTACAATAGAATCTAAAATTTCCATTTCATAGAGCAATCCCTCAAATGATGATTTATGTCAGCAGGCACTACTCGCCCGGGGTTGGGGAACTGATCTTTGGTGGAGAAGCTACTGGAGCTAAGAATCTTAACGTGGTTTTTGATAGCGGAAGTTCTTATACTTACCTCAATTCTCAGGCTTATCAAGCTCTAATTTCTTTGGTTAGTATGAAATATTTTTGACAGAAGTTGACGACTTCCTATAGTCTTGATCACACACATACCTAGCATTTCCACTGCACAACTATTTGCATGACTTCTGATCCGGTTTTGGATACAGTCTTGGTATTCACTAAGACTATTGCCTTTCTTAACTCTTGGCACACTTGTTGCAGCCATTGTTTCTTGAACTTTTTCAAGGAACTTCTCCGATCAATTCTCTAGTTAGCAATGGTTGGCAGCATCAAATATTTCTCAAATACTCAACTACTAATACCTCTCTAATAATCTGACATATGCTTTTAGGTGAGCAAAGAGTTAGAAGGAAAACCCTTAATGGTAGCACGGGATGACAAGACGCTACAACTCTGCTGGAAAGGCAAAAAGCCTTTCAAAAATCTACACGAAGTGAGGAAATACTTCAAGCCTTTAGCAGTGAGCTTTGCCAATGGTTGGAAATCTAAATCTGTTTTCGAAATTCCTCCTGAAGCTTATCTCATAATCTCAGTAAGCAATCACCTAGCATAAACTTGTATTATCGTTTGTACTGGTTCAATCCTTTTTAATGACTATACTATATAAGTTGTAAACTAACAAATTCTCTCCTTTCAGCGAAAGGGAAATGTTTGCTTGGGAATTCTAAATGGTACTGAATTAGGGATGATTTTCAACACAATAGGAGGTAAGAGATTTTACATAAACCAATGATAACCGGAAATTAAACTTTTTATGGCTCCTATAGCCTAAGTGTCTCCTTCATGATCTTTTCTCTCTTCTGTTGCTGTTTCTACAGATATATCAATGCAAGACAAATTGGTGATTTATGACAATGAGAAGCAGGTGATAGGATGGGCCACAGCCAACTGCAATCGGATTCCGAAGTCCGACACCGACACCGACATTATGTGATTTTGATTAAATTATTATTTCATTCTTATGTATCAATCATGTATGTCATTGCAGAAAATGCATTTCGTTGTATATATAATGTATGTACTATATTTTATTTTATTTTTTAGATTAATAAATCGTTTACATTCTGTATAGGGGTATACCCTGAATGACTGTCAAAGAAACAATGTAGAATGCAGATGTTATACAAGAATCAATAAATGTTGCCCTTCATCTTTTGCTCTATGTTATTTCACTCTAAGAACTTGAAGAATATATGAAATGAAATTATGTGCAAGAACCGGATAATCACTCCCTTGACCTTGAGATCAATTGATGTGTGATGTTTGTATAACATCAATGATGCAAAATTTATGAAGGAAACAAATTTTCTTCCTAAAGGCGCACGTAATGGAAAATAATAAAAGCGTCGAATGATATGTCTGATGTTAATTTGAATACTTTCAGAGAATATTTTTATCCATCACTAATTAAGAATCTTTATTGAACGAAGGATGGCAATTGAAATAGCCAAAAAAAAAAAAAAAAAAAAACACACCAATGGCACAAATGTAGCGGTACTCTTGTGAGTGCCTTCTACTTAGCTAGCTTATAATTTTCATAGATCAAACTTATTTGTAATTAATGAATCTCTATTTCAAAGTAATGGTCAATCATTGGAATGCTATTATTACACTACTGTGATACACAAGAATGAAATTAAAATAAAAACCTTACAATGATAGAATCATTTCACTATTTAATTTTTTTTTGCCCTTTTTTCGCTATTTAATTGCATATAGTAAATGATGAGGGAATGGAATGATGACAATTCTCATTCTAGCGTATGGTTAGAACAAAAACTAAAAGGTTGTAAAAAAATTAGTTTGAGATTGATTTGTAGAGAGAAATATATAGGATGTGAGAGACATGTTGGCGAGAGAGAAAACTGGTTATTTACAGCGACAAAGAGAGAAATAGAGGCCAAACATGGTACAACTGTGTAAAATATATAGAAGTGTGTGAGGGGGTATTATGGTTATTTAAAAAAGGGTATTTTGGATTTCTAAGGAAATTTTTCATCAAAATTGATCATAGGGGGGAATTTGCTCCAAATGTTTATACACGGAGTTCTAAGCATTTTTTTTCTATTAGGGTGTTTCTTGCACATTTTATATATAACAAGGTTTTTTTGCTTAAACCAAAATAGAATGACACATAATGGATCTCATAAAAAAAATAATAATAAATAAAAAGGGTCTGAGTTAGAGTGGGCCAGATTTTGGTTGCAAAAGCCCAACATGCCCCTTGTATTTGTCCACCACATCAAACTACTTTTATTAGCAGCCCATATATCTCAAAGTCCAATTCACAGTCGCTTTTTCTGATAATATATACACATTTTTCATCAAAACGAGGATGTGAACACTTGAACGACAATTTATCAAATGTTGACTTTGACTTTTTGATTGATGTTGTAACGAAATAATTTAGTATAACATATATTTAAAAAATAATTAGATTTGCTACAACAAACCATTAAATACAAGAATGCCCTACTTCTAGTACAAATATATTAACATGGACAAACATCCCCATTAACCTAAAGACTAAAATGCCACCCGCACGTCCACAAGGTCAAAGATTTTCTGGGCCACCACCACCATGCTACGAATGTACTAACAATTGTTTTGAGCACCACCCACAAATTTGATTTGATCCAACGGCTAAAAGGGGTTCTGAGTATACATGAACATGTCCTGCATTGGTGAGAACTGTACTTGAGAGGCAAAAATGTCCTCATCTGGAAAAGAATTCATGTAACCAAATTGGAAATCAAGGGCCTTGTTAAAGTCATCATCCCATTTGGGGTCGCTTTGGACCTCCTTCTCCCACGTGAATTCCGGTGACAGCACGTGTTCCGAACCGCTCGAATCCGTGTGCAACCTCGGCATTGAGTCTGATGTCTCAAAATGTAGCATGTCATTGTTCAATTGGATAGGCGGTGGTTGTGGTTGTGGTTGTGGTTGTGATTGTGGCGGTGGTGGCAGCAACAACGATGTTGTCATTCCATTATAAGTGGTGGTCATAATTTCTGGCTTCCGTTCTTCTATTTCTGGAAAATTTGTTATTTTCCGATCAAATGTGTTGGGCTTCTCCAAGGACCCTTTCTTGTTGTAAATGCGACATAGCACCCAATCATCAAGCTGCAATGTCGTTAAAAAATTGTTAGATATTTTCACACATACATATAAATATATATAATAATAAGGATAAAATGGTCATTCAAGTGGTGAAAATATTAATTTACCATCCTAAATCATTTTATTTTTTATTTTAATTTTTTTTCACCAAATCATTTAATTTCAATTTATCAAAAAAGGAAAAGAAATAATTACCCTTAAATTGGTTCTCTTGCCAGCCGACCTATCCACGTTGGCTAGGCGGTATTCGTGCATTATCCAGTTGGTTTTGAGGCCTTTTGGGGCTTTTCCGGCGTAAAACACCAAGGCCTTCTTTATTCCGACCGCCTTAGGCCGCCCAATCGGCTTATCGGCTCCGGTTGCCTTCCAGTACCCGGTTCCTGCCGCCCGGTTCGGCCGTGAACCGTTCGGGTACTTCCGGTCTCTCGGAGAGAAAAAATACCATTCCTTTTCACCATACAGAGCCATACCTGTACAATTAAACCAAATCAAATTAATATCTATATAACCAAAAATCAAATTACCCACTCAAATTCAATTGACCCATTTCCATAACCTGAATAATGAAATTCAATTGACCCATTTCCCAAAAATTGAATAAAGATCGACCCATTTCTGAAAATTGAATAATTTTAAGAAAAATTCAGTGAAGATTACCTGGAAGTTGCCATGGATCGAACTTATATAGATCAATCTCTGCGATAATCGGAACAGAAATTGTCTGCGCTGCGCATTTCCGGCACAAGTAATGCATCACGAGCTCCTCGTCCGTCGGATGAAATCTGAAACCCGGGGGCAACGATAATTCTTGATTAACCGTCATTCACAATTACTTTCTCTCTCTACAAATCTTCCCCTGTGTTTTTGGGTACCAACTCTTCTCCTCTTTGCTATGGATTTGATTGCTTAAGGACGGCGCTTGAAACTTCGATATGAAGTATTGACTCTCTCTCTACATATATATAGTGGTATATATTTGTGGGAGTGATATATATCTAAATAAACACGTGTGATATCACACGGGTTGTATCTGGACACAGAGGGTTAATTGTGCGAGAGTGAGGAAGAACCTTCCTTAGTTCCTTGGATGACAAGGTTTTTGCTGACCGCAGCCACCTAAGGGCATAAGCCGACGGTCCAGTAAATATGGGACACGTGTAATTGTCTCTACGTAGGGAAGGTGATTCTGTCACTGCGTGCGTCAGTTAATTTGGATGTGTCCCAAGGTTGCCTCTTTGACCAAACGGGATGGGCTTTTAAAGTCATGGTCCACAGGTTAAACTCTCCTGCTACGCATTTATTCTGTGCTTGCAGTGAAACGATGTCGTTTTCGTTGTTCAGGCTACTTGGTTTCGCTGAATACGAAATCTGTGGGGTGGTTTAAATGGTGAGAGTAGGATTGTGAAATATAACTTGCCACAGTCGATTGCAACTTTTTTTTTCAACCTGGGTTTGAATTACACGTCAGCGTCTTTTGAGTCCACCATGCAGGTGACGTCATCATTCATGCTTATCTGTTATCGAAAGGAGAAATGCCCTTTCCTGAATCGGAAGAGGCGTCATAACTCGCACTGACGCCGACTTTGAATAGTTCAGACCCTTCTCCTGACCCTTCTCCTAAAAAGTTGTTGGCGAGTTTTCACCTTTTCTTTCCCGAGGCTAATAACTATTTATCAAACTAAATAAAATTAAGGGTGCTAAATAATCTCAAATAATTTTAGGTTAGATTTCTACAAAATAAACTAATCATTTAATTACAATTGAAATTTATTAATAGACAAACAAATTTCAATTGTTAAGAAAAAATTAATTGTGTTTCAATAGTTAAACAAAAAATGATAGATTCATGAAAAACTGAAAACTTGTATGAAAAAATGTTTTCAAAATTGGGTTAATAGTTTTATTGAAACATAACTTTTTTTAAGGCTTATTGTCTAAGTTTTTTTTTTTTTGGGTAAGGTAAAGTAAACTCACACACGGGACTCCATTGAGACTCGAACCCAGGTTCTCCCTTTGGGAAGCTGGGCCTACCTTGGTACTATGTGTGTGTGTGTGGTTATGAAAGCTTCAACTTCAAAACAAAATCAAAGAGGGTGAATAGGTTTAACTTTCTCTTTTATTTAATTCTTAAATTATTATAATTTTTAGCCCGATTAAAACAATCAAATACACAAACACAATAAATAAAGTGCAATAAAGTAAGGATAATACCAGGGAATTTTTTACATAAAAATTCAAAGAAAAAACCACGAAGACTTAGTCGTCTCTGGCTAAACTAATCCATTATCTTGAAACAGTACTGTTACATAAACTCTTTCCCATGCTCACACCCGCTATACTCGGTCAATAACTAGTTCCTAGATGCCTCGGGCTTACTTTTACGATTCCACGTCCAGTTGGTGCAACAAACTCCAAGCTTACTACTAAATCCTTATAGGAGGGTTGTTGGAATAACACGATTGTTCTATGAACACTTTGCCCCCTTCGTAGTGATTAAATCGTCTTCCTCGCAATTACAAAGTTGTAAGGAAATCAAAAAATTTGTTGCTTTGATCAACTAAGATGGAAAGCTCTATATGTCGCTGATCAGTAGAAGAACATTACCTTATATCACTCGTATATAAATGTGTACTCTCTATTACATCATAATTATCGGCCACCTTATAGTGGAAGGTTGTCGTAACTGATTCTAATGAAAAAGTGAATGTTTTCCATTGGAAGGGTGAACATTTCCAATGGAACAGTGATATGCAAATAAGGATGCAATCATGAAGTGACACGTGGCTTCATCAGAGGAAAGCATTTGGTACTGATAAGCGCTGAAAAGTGCGCATGTAAATTCCTTAAGCTTGAACGTTGTAGGACCTTAGTCTATCTTATTTTCCCGTTTTAGTCTAATTTCGTGTTATTTCCCTTTTCAGGCACTTATCCCCAAAACAAGTTAATTCAGCTGAATTAGAGTATAAAAGATGCAATCTCAAGCCCAGTGGAAGAAAGGAGCAAAGTAAAAGCAAATTGGTGAAAGGAAGCCTTCTTCGATCGATCAGAACAAGCTCCGATCGATCACACAGTGATTGTTCCAACCATGCCAAGATGGATCGAGCCTTTTATCCTTATCTTCAGAAAATTTCCCTTTTCAATCGATCCAACATTCCTTCGATTGATCGAACATCTTTTATCTTATCCTCACCTACCACTTTTGTCCTCTTCCCAAAAATATCTCAGACTTGTCTTTATTCCAAAATGGCGCCGCCATAGTTCGATCAATCGAAGAAACCTCGTGATCGATCGAATTGTCTCAAGTTGCATGAAAGTTGATTTCAAGCCAAATTAAATGTGTGCTTGTGGTGCAATCATTTGGAGGTCCTAGTGCACGAGGTCTGACCATTGGGTGTGACATTTGAGCTACCTATATAAGGATTTTGGCTATTTTGAGTAAAAGAGGTTGGTTAGTTAGGGAAAAGTTTGGCTAAAGATTAGAGAGAGAATACACAAATTAGGAAAGTTCTTCCACTCATCTAGGATTTCCACCAAGGAGAAGAAGATCATCTCTACCGTGGAGATAGCCTTTGAGGGTTGGATAACAACATCAATGAGTGGCTAAATATCTTCTTGGGGCTACAGTTAGCCCTAAGCATGCCTCCTAGACCTTGATATTTTGTAATTAATGGGGATTAGTGTTGTATTTCTTGTCTTGACCTTTGATATATATAAATCTTGTTCCTACAATGATTTGTGTAGTTTAATACTTCCAATTGATCATTTAATTCTATTCATATGTAGTATGCTAGAATGAATGTTCATGTGTTTATCTCTAGATTTTGTTACATTGATGCATGTCTATGTGTGTTGATTTTATAAATCTAGTGATAGTCAATGCATGGTACTTAAATGGAATACTCTTGTGATTTATTTGATAGTTCATACTTATTTCTTGATGGATTGTGCCACAACCTTAGAAAAATTAGTTTAATTTTCATGTCACTAACTTAGTTGTAGTGTAGTTGCCTTACTTTCTTAGATAGGTGGACAATCCATTATTGTTGTTTGATGTTCCATGCTTATGAATGCAAGTAGTATATTTCTCTAAATTTGTTGATTGTGCATTAATTGTGGGCTTATAGAAGGATTAATGGTTTAATTTGATATATTGTGTTATTCACTAGATTGGCTAGACAATGTATACTTACTTGGCCATTCCTGCTAACGTTTCAATCAATGGCACACACTTTCACTTACAACGCATATTCCCCATAATCCATCAATTATTGAATGTCTAAGAAGGTAATGCTTAGTGGTGAACTCTATGACCTAAGACTCCTCTCTCTTATTCTCTACACCTTACTTAATTTAGTTGTTTTGCATTGCATTTGTTTAGTTTAAATTGTAGTTTGACTCAACCAACAAACCATCTTTTGATCACTCGACCTACTAATCCAACATTGTTTCCATACAAATATTGCTCCTTTTCCTTGGGACGATCCTTACTCACCCTAACTATATTAGTAGTTAGTGGTAGTAGTGGCATTCTATAAATTCAAACTTGGCCACACTACACACTTTTAGTGCAACTGATACGAGACACACCAGGTACACTGCATAGGGACACGTGTCAACCAGAGAAATATGTGGTTATTTGCAGTTAGAAAATGCTTGTTGAAGGGGACACATGGCAAGCAAAGAGGAAAATAATTACCTGTAGTTAGAAAGTGCCTGCTAAATGGGATACTTGGCAAGCAAAGAAGAAAACAATTACTTGCAGTTAGAAGGTCGTGGTCTATTCCACTTAGCAATTCCAAAATGGGGCTAAAAGCTTTTAATTGGCATTGAATCACAAATCCACTCCTCTAATGTTGCAATTCATGGGAGATAATGTCTTTACACGTGTCAAAATTATGAGAAGACTAAGGGAGATATTGGACACATGGCACAAATCGGACATTCCACTTGGAAAACATCTTAATAATAGATGGAACTACCACTGGCTATAAATAGAAGACCTGGACAGAATGAAAGACATCTCCACACAAATCAAATAACTTATATGTTCATTTACTTGTCATTTTAATTCATCACTTCCATCAAGCATTTCTACCATTTTTCCATTCCATCTATCCATTTCTAAAGTCCTTTTCCACAAAGACAAAAAGAACCTTGCGAGAGTGGTCATTCGAAGCTCTCTACAATCATTTGAAGTTAAAGTCTCTTGCAGCCAGATTTGGAATATAGTTTGGTGTTATTTCATTTCTATTGGATTCTCGGCGAATCCTAGCATGCCTTTACATTCCACTAGAACGGACAGATTTTTTATTGTCAAATATAATGGCACGCCCGGTGGGACCACCGGTTATAGAAATTGGAGATAATGGATGGAAGAGGAATTTCAACGAGTCCCAACCCATTTCCTACTGGAAGTTTAATTCAACCAATTATAAAGAGTGCTACCGGAAGATGGTCGAAGAACGTGAAGAGTGCTACTAGAGGATGGCTAAAGAACGTCAAGAGTACTACCGAAGGATTGCCGAATAACATGAGCAATATTTCCAAGCATTCAAATAAAAGCTTTGATAATGTATTTAGAATGCAATTACATAATGGGAAAGGTCCCAATAGCATGTACAAACCATTTCAGCAACGACTACCACCTCCAACGCCATTTCCACTAGTAGTGTAGTCGCAACCACCACTAGTTCAAGTTTCACTTAGAGTAGAACCTCAAGTCCGGAACCTTTTACTAGCAATAGTTCAACCACTTCCACTGCAGGTGTGAGTTCCACCCCAGGTGCAGTATCCTCCACCAACAATAGTCTAGCCACCTCCATCTCAATTCCAATAGAATGTTCCATTTGTAAGTAGTTAACAACCTATAACCATGCCATTAAGGCCACCTATGGCATTTCTAATGGTGTTTAAAGAACAACCCCTTTCAAGGAACCTTCTACTAAAGGAAGTAGTCTAGTAAGAAGGAGGAACAACCTTCTGTCAGACCAAAACCCACTTCCAATGGTGTTTGGGGAGAAAAC